CCCCCCCCCTCTCTCTCTCTCTCTCTTGATAGAAACACTTGAGTAGCTACACAAGCTGGTGGGTTGCTCTTCCCCACGAATCAGCAAGACAAATGAGATTTAAGTCACAATGAGAATAACGAGAATTAACCATTGGATCAGGATGAGCATTACAAGCCAGTCAGACAACAGCTTGATTCGCTTCACGAAAACGCATGTATGAATCGGATTTTCATGTTGAACATGGCTGAGAGGTTGAGGCATTCCTTTTATGATGCAATCCAATCTCCACGGGATTCCTCTAAGACAGTCGATGATGAGCTTCGAATCTCCTTCCATGACGATCGGTTGGTCCGTGAAGTTAGTATACCCAATGTTATAAGCCTTGGTCACAAGGACATTCCCCTTATGATTTCTTGCAATACATCCAGATCCCTTCATTCATGCAGGATGCATCAAAATTGATCTTGATGCAATCAAACTTGGGGCTAAACCACTCAATAACATTCCAAACTTTGTTATTTGAAATGTTTTTACTTAAAATAATATCCTTAATCTCCTTCCAAGCTCTTTCAATAATGGACTGAGGATTACTCAATTTATCATTGAAACATTTATCGTTTCTATTCTTTCAAATGAATCATACGATCAGATATTCTTGACCACCACTGATTAATTGAAGCATCATTGGTCGAAGGCACCGGGAGACTCGAATGCATTAGTCTCCAAACAAAAGCAATCTTAGTTGAAAATATTGCTACCATTGTTGATAATGTTAATCAGGTCAGATCCTAGTTTGCCCTTTTAGTGAATTAAAAAGACTGAATGCCAAGAAAGCTTGTACGAGGGATAGTTGGTCCCAATTCCCAACTATCTACATCTTTGGATACAGTCCTAATTCCTAACCTTTGACATTGTAAAAATGAGATCAAATTTGCCATAAAAACATTTCCCCATGAATACAAATTTATAATTACCGAGATATTCCCAATGTGCGACTGAAATATGCTGTAAGGCACGCTCTGTGAGGAACGGATCCAAACTCTGTCAAAAATGTTGATCAGAACGCAGTTACCGTATTCCGATAATACATGAAATCTTATGATCAGTAGTACTAAAGAGTGAAAGTTATCATACATATTAACATCTAGAATCTAAATCTTCATCTTAAATGTTGCCGTATTCAAGTGCAGAATTCTTTTTTAATAGGTTTTTTTAAGTAGTTTTTTAAATAGGTAAAATATTTGGGAGTTTTTTTAATTGTAAATGTTTATGAGGATAGTAAAAAGGGTGCAAATTTTACACCAGGTCCACTTTTACTCTTCAAGGCTCGGTTTGGAAGGAATACAAATACAAATATATATAATACAAATCAATGTTCAAAATTTCGCAACGTATCAACCCGTATCGTTTCGGTATAAGTCCGATACATGGAACGCATAGAAATTATCTGTAGCGCTTGGAATTCTCTTCTCATTAATTTCGTTAATTAATAACCCTCTTTCTCATTAAATTCGTTTTGTTAGTATAAAACTACAAATTAGCAATAGCAAGATTCAAACCCTAACTATTAGACTTTAAGAACTAGAGGTAAACCAATCACCACTAAGCCACACCCATTTGCTTGCTATAAGTTTATGCATTTTTATTTTAAGTAAATTTTCTCTTTTTCTTAGTATATGCTTATCAATAAATGTTAGAATTAATTATTAAAATTTATGTATTAATAAACATTAAGATAAATTATATTGATTATTTTAAAACTAATGTATATCAATATACATTTTAGTTTTTATTTTTTTTTGTTTTTTCACGTTTTAGTTATTCCATCATTTGTCAATAGTTACTAAGTGTGTCTTGATATCTCGAATTTTATATAGATCATTAAATTACAGTTTTTACTTTTAAATAACTTATTTATCGTTATTAATATATATTTTTAGGATTTATTTGCATTTTTGAGCATATTTATGCGTATCTTGATTTTTCATCCATATCTATACGTATCCAAAGCGTATCCCAATACGTCTCTTAAAATTATCTTTTCGATACACCTTATATTTCCGATACTTTAAACTTTAATACAAATACATACAAAATAATACAAAAATATAAGGCTTTGCACTCCTTCCAAACTAGGTCTTAAGGGTCCATTTGATTCACAACCAAAATCGAAATCAAAATTGGAATAATTTATTCCCATAGTCTGCTTGGTCTAGACATGAATGGGAATGGGAATGGAAATTAGATTCAGTTAGAATAAGATTTCATTCCCAAGGGAGGGGAGGGAATGGTCAATCCAAACAATTGGATCATTCCAATTCCGATTCCAAACCCTTATTTTTGTGAACCGGCCCCAAGTGTAAACAACTGAAACTTGAGCTCAGTTCGGAAAGAATATAAATACAAATATGTACAGTACAAATTAACACAAAAAACAAGATTTTACATTCAACATATTTGTATTTGTACTCCTTCCAAAAACAAGGTTTTACATTCAAGATATTTGTATTTGTACTCCTTCCAAAAACAAGGTTATACATTCAACATATTTGTATTTGTACTCCTTCCAAAATGTGCCTCAATCTTATTATATGACAAAACCTTATATTTTGTATTATTTTACATTCCTAAACCAATCTTGTATTTGCACTGAACATATTTGTATTCGTATTCTTCCCAAACTGAGCCTTAATCATCGAGTGAGAAGGAAGCATACCCATCCAAATTGAACAAACAAAAATAAGCTACCAAGACAACACTTGAAAGTTGAAACTAAAATGGTTTCAACTAGAAAACTATAAAATGACACCCTTGGTTACCAAGTTTGAAGATAACAAGAAACTAATGACCAGGCTTAGTCAATAATCAAAATTTATTAAAAGTAACTCAAATAAATTTCCCACTTGATGCCAAAGAACTAGCTCTGCCAACCACAATAAAGTGACGAAGCCAACACGTAACAGCGCAGGAAATGGTCCGAAGAATCATTCTACAGATTTACCAATTTACTTGATAAAATGAGCACTCTTGCCATAAAGCAATTAAGAACCACCCAAATCTAAATTTCCATCTCTATAAGTAGACTTTCTCCAAATACACCTCATCACAACTCTAGCTACTAACCTTTTATCACTCTTCTTCACAGCTCTACTCCTGATGCAGAAATCTAGGCCTAAAAAGTCTACTGTGCAAACCTGCTTTCAAAAATCTTTTAAGTACATTGTCCACAGCTAAACCTTGAATTTCATACATGTCCATATGATCTATACCCCTAAGGCTACATTTAGAAACCATGCAAATAAGTGTTAATGAAAATATGTAGAATGTAAAAAGGTCCATACGCTCACAAATTTATCTTCTTACCAAACAGACTTTTAGCTGTAATAGATGCAAACATGAATTCCAATAAAACATATACCTTTTTTTTTATCAAAAGTCCACTTGAATGCAAATTTACTTCTTTTTCATTGATGTACTTTTACATCTTATTATCAATGTAAATGTGCATTGGAAAATGTGTTTTATTTCATTTGTCAATGCATAAATGTAATGTTGTCAAACACAAGCAAAAGTGAACCAGAGTGCAAATTTACCCTGAACCGGGATCTACACTCCATTTGCTTCATTTCCAAACACAGCCTGAAAAACCTATTTTGCAAGGTCAATATTGGCACAATATGCATTACTCTTATACTAACAACCTGACAGTTAATGAGCTCAAAAACAAATAACCTTCAATCTGTTTCCATGTTAAAACTTGCCAAAGTACATCGTTGGGCATAATCTAGTGGGAAGTTATTTATCTTCACTAAAAGAAAAAACATGGTAATAACAGATCCAACCATCAAATTTTGGAGACACAAGGTCATAAATATTTTGAATGATTTATCATTATGCATGAAGAAATCCCCCAACTGGTCATTTGGCCACAGAAGAAAACATTCACACCTCCAAAGTAAGTCTTAGAGATAGTAGGGACTTTTTGACGCAAAGACTTGTATGGGGTATAAAAATGAAAAAGTACGCCAAGAATGGGAAAAATAGATTTTCGGTGTCCAAATGACTCCCCCAGTCTAGCTTGAGACAAAATTCAACCCAACCATCAATAAATGCTTTTGAAGAAAAAAAAAATGAGCTTGAAAACTAGGATAAAAAGGCAACCGTATTGTATTCAAGTTGTATCATACATTGACAAGCACAACAGAAGATGCATTTTAAGAGTTATAATTAATCATGTACCATGCATCATCTAGCAATTAATAGGAGCAATCATATCTTGAAACTTGCAAGTTAAAACAAAGAGAACTCTTCTGGAATCTAGATTGAGTACAACAGGAGAAACAGCTAATGTGGACATCAATTGCAAAAATTATAGTTATCTATTGACTGAAGCCAACCAAAACAACATTCAGAAAGGCATAAAAGTTTGCCTTCTCTGCAATCCAAATAAAGATAATATGGGTCAAACATCCATTTCAAAGTTGTAAAAACAAACTACAGGTGTTGTCTACCCCCAATAAACTGTTACATAACATTAGCTTGTAGATATCAGACTACAAGGAGACACGCGTCACATAGGTTCCACAAATAACAATCACAAGATATACCCAAAATCACTGGTGTTGATCTAGAAGAAGACATAAACTGTACGGTAGAACTTGGATAACAAACCAATATCATATCTAGCCAAATTCACCGTCTCACAAACTATAAACATTTAAAGTAAAGCAGATTTTATGGAGGAAGTCTCCATTGCAAGGCCCACAATGCATACTCAACTAGCACGGCTTCGAATGACATCAAGTCCCATCTCAGTAGGATCAGTCGCTTGCAACTCTATCTGAATGCCATCCAACTCCCTCTTGAATCTGTCCTTAGAGCTTGCATAAATCATCTTACTTCTCACCCTTGAAGTATCAGGTGACCTTCACCAAGAGAAACCCAAAAAGATGAGCATAGACGAATAAAAGAACAATCAACAATGTTAAAACTAGAACTTTGAAGGAGGGACCGGAGGAAAAGGAAATGAATGTTGGCAACATTAAGCATTACCATGCAATAAAGAAAATCCTGCTTTTTTGGCAATTCTCCTCCGTTACAAAGTCAAAATCATAAACGGCATATCGGCATTCATCAGCAGGAAGGCTTGCAGTGAAGTCCTCATAGCTTTCAGTAGGCTCGCCAACCTTTTCAACAACAACCTGCTTTTGTTTTTCCTCTATCTTGAAAACTATGAAGCGGTAGGTTCTTTTTGCCTTCAATTCCAAAAACTTCAATTTGCAGTCATCATGCACAGCCATCCCCGATGCTGCGTTGGCCTATGCATTGGACGGAAGTTAGATCAAGCAGCCCTTGTTATATTCAAAATTCCAATGAAGTATAAGAAAAAATCTATTTGCCATAGGAATAATTTAGACAGACAACAAAACCATTGAAATTTTCAGACAAGGACCAAAGATCATGAAACGATAAAGATCACGAACCTGACTATACGAACATTTCACTTGTTCTGGAGCTTATATAAAGCAGATCGACGTAAAAAAGCAAACTAAAAACTGCAAACCAAGTTAATCCCAAAAAAAGATCCCTAAATCTGAGTCATTTCACAAAATTATAAGCGCGGGCATGGTCCTAAAGCTACAGCCATTATCAGCGAATAGAATTTACGATCAAATAAAAAGAGATCCATTCTGATCGAAAAAATCAACACAATTCATGTCGCCCGCCACGAGATCCATGACATATACGCTCCTGAAAAGCTTCCGTCGCTATCTCGAATTAGATGAAACTCAATTTATAAAATCCAGCACATAAAATAGGTCTATCGATTCAATGGAATGGATATTCAGAAATTGACAATCAAATCAAAGAGAATAATCGATTCTGTTGGCTGAATGAATTATGAATTGAATGAACAAATCCCGTTAAAATCAATCATGTCTGTTTGATTTAAGATAAATGAGTTCCACCAAACAAACCAGTCACGGAACAAGCTGCTAAGTTATTAAGACTTTAAAGAAGATTGAAACATGAAAAAATTAGTGGAGAAGAAAACATAACCCTAGGGCTGGAAGAAAAAAAAACAAAGCAGATAAATACGTTAAAAATAAAAAGGAAAACCTCACCATTTTTGAGGGGGATGATCGGAGATTGACGAGGGTGTTGAAACGAGAGGGCTGGAGAGAATCTAGGGCAGCGTGAGCGGAGAAGATATAGAGAAGGACCCTCCTCCGATAACAAGGGCCTTCGCAATGAAAATGGAACCCTTCTCTTTCGGTGGCTTCTCCTCTAATATAATGATGGATTGATGGTCATAGATTACCACAGAGAATAAAGTATCATGTTCCAATAGAAATTTGACACGTCATGGTGAGCTGGAAAAAATATCATGTGTTTTACTCCATCAAGGATGAAGCTGCTTCACCTCACGTTCACAGTCGCTTGTAGGAGTCGTCTTCGTGGATCTCTTTGAGTGCTCTTTGAGTCGGTGGCGAATTACTTAAATATCCGTTGTTTCTACTGATTTTACGGGAATTGCCATTTGATTCTTCAGAGTTCAGACTTGAAACCAGTAAACCGCTGCTTCATTTGACTGCCAAAAATAAACGACCGTTTTCTTTTAACAATGTTAAAATTCCTGTTTTTGCCTACGACACTTGTATTTCGGTCGGGTCCATTCGTACCGACTGTTGGAACCCTATTAAAAATGACAAATATTCCACATATGTGATGTGATGTGGTATACCGTATACACTACATCAACAAGATAAAGCCTCGTTTTGTAGAAATAGCGGTTTGGAATCGGACTGTTTGGTTGGGTGAAATTGGAATCTCATTTCCATTTCTGTTAGAGCTTGTCTTTCTCTTGGGAATGAAATTTTATTCTTACTGATTCTAATTTCTATTCTCATTCATGTTGATGTTGTCTAATCCAAAGTGTTTTGAACTACAGATGCATTTAGATAGTATTGCCAATTAAACGATCGAGGTGGAAGGACAAAGATGCGTGTTGAAATAATCTATAATCACAAGGAGGGTTAGAGGTTCAAGGAATTATTCCCCGAGTAAGTATTCCAACCCTAAAGTCAAAAAGAGATAGGAGATAAATCGAAATGAGCTGAGGAGAATAGGCTAGTTCAGACTGAGGTGAATGGGAAGGATGTTGAGGTAGGTTAAGAGTCCAAAGTCCTTTACCTTGAAGGGGAGATGCCTTTATATAGATGAACATCCATATCGTAATCGAATAAAGTCTGCAAAGTTGTCAGTATGAAATCGATTGCTGAAGTTTCTAGGAGGTTCCCCTTTCCTCGACAAGGTGTGTTTCTTTGTCCACGTATAACGTTATCTCCTTAGTGCGCATTCCTATGGCACAGGCACATTGAGCGGTGTTGACGTGGTATGAGGAAGTCAGCCATGGAGACTGAAACATGGTGACTTCAACCAACTCAGGCACCACCCGACACCTGTTTGAACCAAACAGACTATGGGAATGGACCATTCCGATTCCCATTCTAATTGTGAACCACATAGACCTTGAATTTATGTGCTTAGCGCAATAGCATTAGTCTTGCACCTCATAAGACCTGGGTAAGATCGGATGAATCGAGTTATATGTAAAAAACGAACCCCAATCATATCAACCAGACAAAGCCAACCCAATAACCAAAGCACAAGTGAGCACATGGATGTCAATAGGTTAGGTTTTGTATAGGTTTGAAAACCTAATCGCCTAATTAAGATGGTGTTTGGTATGACTTACGTTTATTTGATAAACGGTGCCATGTCAGTACCAAATCAACATTTATCCCATCATGCAAATTTGTATGCATAGGTATTAATAAAAGTTGGTATTGGTTTATGTGTACGCAAACAATTGGGGGTTAGGTTTCGTATAGGTTTGAAAACCTAATCGCCTAATTAAGATGGTGTTTGGTATGACTTACGTTTATTTGATAAACGGTGCCATGTCAGTACCAAATCAACATTTATCCCATCATGCAAATTTGTATGCATAGGTATTGATAAAAGTTGGTATTGGTTTATGTGTACGCAAACAATTGGGGGAAGCTTCATTTTAACGCTTCCCCAAACGGTTAAGTGTTCATTCACTGTTCCATTGATGTGGTGCCTAATTGTCAATAAACTCTTTATCAAGTACTTTTTCTCAGTTTTGAAGACAAATCAAGTACAAATATTTATTTAATAAATGAAATCTATACCAAACACGTACTAAATGAAATAGAATTACCGAACCCAAACCAACTTGATCCATAGGGTTACAATGCCTAGACCCGACTTGTGAACACTACACATGGTTTAAAGTTTTATTTAAGTTGTGCTTGTCTTTTGACAAAACTATTGATATACTAGCTCTTCCACAAGTTTCTAAAATTTAATAATTATCCATAACTAAAACAATTTTAAAAGAAAAAAAACATGATTTAAAGTCTTTTTTTTCACAAGATAAAGATTTATATAACATTATCTAAAGTATCTAAATTAACGACATTACAATCCATCACAATATGGGGAAGTCAAAAAGGAATGCAACGAATCAACAATGCTAATAAGTCATATATTAAAAAAAATGGCAAATTTCTTAAACTACCTTTATGGTTTAACTAATTGACTAAGTATACCCCTACTGTTTGACTATTGTTTGATACTACCCCTACTGTTTCTAACAATTGACTACTTCTACCCTTACCGTTAGCATTTGTTAATATTCCGTCACATGTGACATATACTTTTTTTAAACCCAATTTTACCCTTCATCCCTCTCCCTCTTCCTTCTTCTTCTTCTCCTCCTTCACCATCTTCTTCAAGAGAGCCACCGACACCTCTTGCCAATCTACTGATGAAAACCCAAAAGCTCCACTATATGGGGAAGAGAAAATCCATCTTGATGGCAAGAAGAGTTATCCCTCTTTTCGTTGGTTCTCTTCGAGCCTCAATCTCACTAGAAACGGCTTCTTACAGAGACAGCTCCGCTTTCTAGGGTTCAAGCATTCGCTTTTCGCTTTGGTCTTTACATATCATGAGGAGGTAGTGTGTTTTGATACTTGGATTTGGGCAGTTTTGAGGGAAGTAATGATTTAAGGACCGAGAGAGAGAGAGAGAGAGAGAGATTGGTGTTGTGTTGGCTTTGAAAGTTGAAACTAGTACAGGTATAGGGTAGCCCTCCGCCCAAAGCTCCTCCATAGCTGCCCATCTCATCTCAAATCAAGAAACCAATATCTGGACTTGGGCAGTGAAGATAGACCGAGGAAGATGAAGAAGAACCATAAGAGATTCCAATTTGACCTAAGGGATAAATGGGCATTTCAGCCCTTCCGTTAATATTTTAACGGTAATGGTAATTTTTCAAAACAATAGGGGTATACTTAGTCAATTAGCTAAACCATAAGGGTAGTTAAAGAAATCTGCCCTTAAAAATGATGATAAGTAGTGGAGGTATGCTTTAACCCAAATCTAATGCATATCAGTTGTCTCAATTATAAGAGACAAGGTTATATAAATCCTGTTTTTCCATTTTGTTATATTCAATATTAATTTTATTATCAAATTATGGGCATTTAAATCATTTTTTTATTATTTCCACCTAAATTATGTTCAGTCTATCCCTATATCTTCTAGCCCATGCAACTTATAACAAATTCTTCTAATGAGTGTTTAGATGTTCTTTTATGCACGTAACCATAACCAACTCAGTTTGTTTTCTAACCCCATCCTTTCTACTTTTCCACTTATCCGTCTAAGTGCATGCATTTCTGCCACAATTATTTTTTGCACATACTATTTTTTAATTGCCCAAATACTCTGCTCCATGCACATAATTGACCTTACAACTATTTTATAAAGTTTTCCTTTTAGCTAAAATGGTATTCGCATATCACATCAGATCTCAAATGCACCCCTTCATTTTAAATATTTTGTTCTAATTCTATGAGCTACATTCTCCTCAATTTCCCCTTTGTTATGAATCATTGAATCATGATAATAAAAGAGGCCACATTGAATTATTTCTTGGTTTTTATTACCCAAAAAAAAAAAAACTATCTATTGGTTTCCAATCTTAAGTACACCTTAATTTGTATTATTATTATTATTATTATTATTATCAAATTTACATTGCATACACTCTATTTTAGTCATTATTTTAAAACTACTTGATTCAAATATATTTGTCTATAACTTAAATTTTCATTTAATCCGTTGTTATTTTAATCAATTAATGCTATGCTGTCAACAAACACCAAAACACCACAAGACCTTCCTCTTCTTGAATTGTATAGATTTATTTACCTTTTTCATTCTAACCAAACACAGCCTAAGTGAAAACCCATTCTAACTACAATCAAAGTTGACTTATATTTCTTTTTTGTAACTTTTATATTCCTTGCATCTGGACATGCCTCTCATAATCTCACTCACACATGTATGATCTTCATGGGACAAAAGAGTAAGAAAACTTTGGCTGTCCACATTTGATAGCTTTTGATATTCATGGGCTCTCCCCATGTGACATGTTAGTCCATACAGCCCATGAGTCATGCCTCTAGCACCGTTATTGTTGCATGGAGTGCATATGGACCAATTTATTGGGAAGAGCCCTGTGGATAACACAAGCCAAAATCTATTTGGTTGCTTTGCAATCAAAACCAGTGTTCTTAAAATCAGACTGAAAAAACCGGAAACCAGATATTTGACTGGTTCTGTTTCACCCCAAAATTGATTTTTGGTCAAAACCGTTGATTTGGTCAGCAAATTGCTGGTCTGAGCTGTCAACTCATCAACCCGAATAACAATTTTTGGCCTTTTTTAATTTTTTATTTTTTGTCAGAGTGTGCCATCCACTAGGGCCGGACGGTTGTGTTGTTTGACCCAGGAACTGGACCCCATAACGGTTCCCTGTCCGGTCTAGTTTTAAAAACCTTGATCAAAACTAAACATAAATTTTACATCTGGTTCAGTTTTGCATCCATTATGATTTGTACACATTATTAATGCAAAATTTATACTTTTTGTCTCATTTGCACTCACTATAGGGTTGTTCACGGGTCGGGTTGGGTCGGTTTACTACGATTTTTCCAACCGACCCAACCTGGTCGGGTTACCTGACATAGAAACCGAAACCGACCCAGTGTTAAGCAAAACCGACCTGGTCGGTTTGAGTCGGGTTGGGTCGGTTTCGGTCGATTTCGGTTCTAAGTTCATCCCTGTGATAAAATCTTGCTAATTTTAAAAACAGTCATAAATTGAACATCATTTCAGCTAT